ATGTGGTGGGAGCTACTAGCTAGGAAGATACTTGGTGCACAAGACATTTTACTACCATGATGCGGTGGAGAACATTTTGGCCACAAATATTGGGGCATACTCTTATTTGTTCAATAAGTGCCATGGGGTCTTTGAAACCATGCTGTGGAAATGGAACTTCACCACTAGGGTTTGTTCAAATGATTACATATACAGAAGAGTCCATGGAATACAATATATCTTCCTTGGAAGAAGGCAGGGCTGAATCAAGTCTGCTAGGATTAGAACCTGTAGATGCAGAATCTCTAGGTAATCAGGTAAATAGAAGTCTCAAGTAAGGTTTGTCTAAACGGCACCACATTCCAGACTATCCAGGGAGGTGGGAAACTGTAGTGTGGTCTAACATATTGTGCTCTAACAGCTCCATGTAAACCCTTGCTGGTGAAAACTAAAAGATATCTGGTTCATGTTGATGTAGTCCCGTTTCAAACAGGACTATGTTAACATGAAGTAACTACCTTTTAATTTGCACCATCAGGTTCTACATGGGGCAGTAAGAGTGCAATACATTAGAGCACTCTACGATTCACGCCCCCATAGCAGCACCATGTAGACAAGTCACAAGATACTTAGTTGACAGAAATTGCCTGTCTCTAATGCAAAGGCTCCATTGCTAAGGGCTGCAGTTGTTCAGTCCTTCTGAAAATCAAACCACTTTTATTTAGGTGCCTAAACATGGATTTAGGAGCCTCAATTTAAGCAACAAGGCTTGAAAATGTTGTCCATAATTACTTCCTAACTGGATATATTTTTCTTCCTTATTTTCTCATTAAAGACAGATTTTGAAAGACATTTCAGTAGCTCAGCTATTTTCAACTCATTGCTGAATTTGCTTCTTAATAGTAGGCATAGACATATTATCATGAAATCTGAACATGACATTAGCCAATATCGTGAGTAAAATAATTAACACATCATGCAAATTAGAGCTAATTTGTGTATGCTTATTAGTTAAGATAAATATCACAATTCAGCTGAAAATAAGTATTACATCATTCTAGATCATTATATCTATAAGCCTCATTCTCCACTGTCTTGCACCTTGTATAGTAATTTACACCTGTGCACAGTGAGTGCAAAGTGGGTGTGAAATGCTTCAAATCAGAATAGTAGAATTTAAACCGACTTTATGCAAGTGTAAATGACAAATAAGGTGCAAGGCAGTGGTGATTCAGTGGATATATTTTTATACTACAATTTTAACTGCAGAATCTGATCCTCAGAATTCTGGCACATATTGCACAGACCTTTATATCTTCTTCATCTAAAAGTGATATTCATTTTTATATATTTAAAAACACATAGCTAAAAAAAAACTATAGTCCTGCACGTATCATGTAAACCTGGGTTGCACATGAATAGAGAAGAGGAATTTATACTGCACTATCCAGCTACGTGCTATACTGGACTGAGAACATTTCTATGAAAGATAAATATGACCCACCAAGTATAACAGAATCTAAATTTAGAAGGAAAAACAAAATAAAAGTAAAAGATATAAGGAAAGGAGGTGATACTGAGGGTCATTACTTTATTATGACCCTCATATCTAGGTTTGAGAGCCCAAGGTCCAGTCCAAGTCGCAATGTCTCAAGCTAGTGTGAGCCCCACTACCACAAGTCTATTAGTCCAGGCTAGAAGGCTCACTCCCAGATGCAGTGCAGATATACAGAACTAAAATCCCATGCTGTCATACTTTATTAGTTGAGTTTAGTCTCCAATAAGTCACTCTTTCTTATGGGCCAGTTGAATTTTCTGTTGTTTTTTTTTTTTAATTTATTTTTTGCTTAAATATTTTCCAACTCTGACAGAATGACATTTTAAAAATGAGCCCCTTTTAAATTTTCCCCTCAAATTATATGTTTTTCAGACTCCTCTAGTTAAAGAATCACAATCCCTAAAAGCACCCACACACATTCATTCCCATAACATCTCACACTTAGGCCCCTCTTAAAATGTATACATAAGAACTGTTACTTTCCCTTTCTACATGGAAAAGCTGAGCTAACTGACAGGTTCGGCCAGCTGCTTCTACCCTTCAGGGCTGCTAGACTGGCTCCCTGGGAAACAGCCTGGGCACTAAGGAGTACGGGGGGCAGGGAACTGGAGGATTGTTGAGGACAAAGGGGTCTTTGAGACAGTATGGAGGGCCTGGGGGGAGAATGGGGACACGCAGGGATCAGGAGGAAGGAGAAGCAAAGTTCAGTGCTGCTGCCTTGGCTCCTTGGGGCACCATGCAGCAGCCCTGTTGAGAGCCAAGAGAAGTGAGGGCCGTGTATCAAGGGAAGCCTGGGTTTTCGGGACTCACGTAGGGTGAGTGGAGCGTTGGAGAGGCAGGGCCATTGAATGGGGGTGTAGAGGGGATCTGAGGAAATAGTTGCATCCTGGGGTGAGAGGTCTGGTGTGGAAGACACCAGAGCTCCTTCTTGAGCCTTCAGTGGGGAACAGTCCTCTCCCTCTGCACCCAGCATCAGCACTTGAAGCACTTCTTCAGCACTGATGCCTTGAATCCCTCTTGCACTGAGACAGCAGTATCAGCGGAGCTGAGTTTTTGGGTACAGAGCCATAGGATCATCAAAGTCTCCTCATGATGCTATAACCCCAGGTGTGTCAGAAAGTGGAGGCTGAAGGAGCCCATCAATTGCTGGTGGCTTGACACATTGGGACAGAGCCCACTTGCTACTCCCACTACACAATCCTGATGATACCAACCCAGATCTCACCCGCACACATCCCTGCTCACTCCCCTGCTCCTGGAGTTTAACCAGCCCGGTTGGAGTTTAACACTGTGTGGGGAAGGTGGGGTGAGTGACTAAGGGGAGGCAGGTGGATGAGAAGGGATGGGGTGCAGCAAAGGAGAGAGAGCGGGAATGTAGGAGGGCAGCTGCATCCATCCATGCCCCTCATTAATGTCCCTCTCCCACCCTGGTCCATGGAGATCTTCACTTTCTCCACTTTTAGTCCTGGTATAGCAGACCTGCTCAGATAAAGTAGTCTGTGCACTCCTCCAGGAGGGGCATGAACAGTGTATTCATAGATATGCTCCTCTCTTGACTTGACCCTTATCCCCAAGGAAACCTGACATGCTGGCAGATAGGGAGCCCTCATACAGGTATACGCCATTGCATACGGGGTGCTGGCCACCTGCATTGGTTTCCCAAAGACAGCCCCCCACTCTATGCAGTGGAACCACACTCCATGCCCCTGGAGTAGGGGGAAAGGTTTCCTCTTAAAACAGAGACTGCCACTGGACACTTTCCAACCAGAGTGCTATAAGCTGCTGGTTATGGTAAGTTCACATTCTCTTATTGGGGACGGGATGTTTTACTTTTTTACAGTAGACAATGAGGTGAGGTTTGACCAGAAGAAAATACTAGCCATAGTTTGTTTACGTGGGAGGTCAATGGTATGTCTGTATGTGGGTTTTTATGTACATACATAATTTTTACTGAGGGTGAATATGGACTGAGGAAGAAGTATACAAGCTGGGTCTTCATTCTGGCTATGACTGGCACTTCATTTTGCCTCATTGTTTCCTGGTAGTTACCACGGTTTGTCAGACATTTTTGCTGTAGGATGATGAGGGAGAAGAAAACTCTGGCAAACACAATCACTAGCATATAATTTTCCTGTATAAAGAAGGGATAACAATGGAGTGTTGTGAAATAAGATGGCTCTTTACATAACATTTAAATATTAATACATTAAATATTTAACATCAGTGTTAGTATCTCATTTGCAGTAATTATTTATTGCTCTCCTTTTATGGCTGCTGCTACATCTTCAACTCCAGAAAATACCAACAAACTTTGTAAATATACCCTCCTCCCCAGTATGCGCACACACACACACAGCCACTAGAAACGACATCATACACTCTAGTGGTAGATGTGAGTAGATCTTTCCCATGGAAGTCTGCCTTGCCTTGCAGTGACTCCATTATTTAGTAAGTCACACAATACCATAATTGCTGTTGTTTTTCAAACCCGTTTATACTTTTTTGGTGATAAACATAATTGCAGAAATGAGAAATCAGACTGCAAACGGTCCAAATTTAAATATAATCACCCCCACACTAGACCATAAGAGTGGCAGATGGACAAAGGAAGAAAGTGTACATAGTCATATTTTCTCCCATTATAATATAGACCCTTCAAACTTCAGCCAGGAACTTACCATCTGCAAATTTGAGTCTTTCCATTTCTACTGAGGCACTGATTCAAAATTCATGATTTTTTAAGTTTGAGTTCAAGTATTAAATTGATTGTTTTATATTTTAAAGGCACTGTATCCATGCTACCCCTTACACCCAGGGAAAACGACTTGAAAAACTCCATACAACTGCTAGTTATCTTCCTTCACATCTCTCTTTAAGACTCACTTCTGCTGTGATACCTACAGAACCTGCCAGCTGATCACAGCTAGGCAGGGGGTGAGCTAATATTACTGCTACTTACTTGCTTATGACACCTATGGATTGTGCACACAACTAGTCTTTCTAAAACATTCTCTTCTACTTGTTCCCTCCACTTGTTTCTGTCACTCTTTAGGGAAGGACTGTCTGTCTTTTATTATATATGTCTATACAGTGCTTAGAGCCTCTATAGGACCGGTGCTACTATAATACAAATAATAACAGTGATAGCAAGTTAGTCCTAATTTTGTTCTTCTGATTAAATTAAGAATTTCTGTGCTGCTCCAGTGTGTAATTTATTTCTAAGGGCCAGATCCTCAGTTCATGTAAATTGCTGTAGCTCCGTTGTATGCTGATTTATGTCAGCTGGCCCTTAATCTTTCAATATTTCCCACTTAGAATATAATCACAAAACAAAAGCCGTGTTCGTTAAATAACCTATTCTGAAAGGCTGCATTTCACATGGTCCTTTACCACCATTGTGTCTAGGAACTCTGACCCTAAATTTTAAATTTAATAACCAGCCTATTAGTAACCTAAACCTTACCTTAGCGTGGAGCACCTTCATGAGTGCAGGCTTATCTTTGACCTGGGATGTAGTTCAATCTGGCAAATCTTTTTCAAGGCACATAAGTGCTGCAGCACTAAGTATGTTTGTCAGATTTCTACTGAATCAGGATTGGTCGCTGCAGGGGATAAGATAGAAAAAGAGATGCTTCTTTTGTGTGTTGTAAACATAAGCTCCATAAACAAAATAAAGCAATAAGCGTAGTAATTATTTAAAAATATTTTACAATATTTCTGCTCAGTACAGCTATGAAAAGTCTAAAAGAAGCAAAATAAAAACAATTTTCAGTGAAGAAATTGAAGTTCAGAAGTCACCAATAATGGTAAAAAGATCCTAGAAGCCAGTTTAATACCTTGTTCTTCTGTTAAGGAATACTTTCTGCACTAGACTAGTGGAATAGTAGGACTTTTACCTGGCTCTTGTATATGGCATACAGATTTCACTTGGAAGCGTAATTTTTACAAACTGTTTAGTGTTCATGTGTCACTACCACTGTTGTGCCAGATTGCACCTGGCATCAATATAAACAAAGCTTTGGCACGAATTCTTTCCTTTGGGATGGAGACATCTGATATTCAAGCTGAAAACATGTCAGTGTTTCAAGACACTCCAAATAGCCTGATTTACCAGTATAGTAAATTAACCCGCCTGGTGGAGTGTTAAATGCTTTATTAACATCAACTGGAGGCGAGGGGGGAAATGGCAAAAACAAACAAAAACACTTCAAAAACTTGTTTGTCTCGTATTGGTGAAAGAAATATAGCTAAAGCATGTGAAGATTATGAGATGCTTGGGAGTCAAGAAGGCAGAAGAGAAAAATGGAAACAAGACATTTCTAATACTTTGTTTGCATTCTTTCCATAGAATATACGGTGCCAGAGACCAAAAAGTAGAACTGGCAGGTACTGAATAAAACAAGTTCTATATAAAATGGAAAGGAATCCCCTCAACAAAAATATCTGCCTGAAAGTTAAATTGGGTTAACTAACAAGCCCTGAAAATACTCAACACATCATTGTCTTTAAGAGGAAGGTTCACTAAAACCACTTAAATTCAAGTGGATTTCCTTTAATGGTGAAAGCCATCTCTAGATAAAGAGAATCTAGACAAAAAGGTGATAAACTACTCATATAACCTCCCGAGGCAAAAGCTGAGCTGAGTATTTGACACACAGAATTCATAGATGGTAAGCTTTTTGAGGCAGGGTCTATCATTCATTATAGATTTAAACAGCACCTGGAAAGTAGGGCTCAAACGTTGTGGCTGTTTGGTGCTGTTGCCATTGTTGTTTAACATTTATATAACTATCACTAGAATAGGCACTTACAAACAAACTGGAGTGGAACAGGAGTGTGTATATGCTGTCTGAGAAAATACAGCATTTGTTCCTTGGAAAAAATTGCTCTTTGTGAATAAATGGACTAAAGCTGTGCCATTTTATTAATTTAATATACATTTATGTTCAAATCCTATTCTACAGTTTACTGTAAATAAAATAGACTACCATAATTTATTATTATTTCTGACCACTTGGAAATTGTTACAAAGCTTGTGTTTGAGTGGATGATAATTATTTTTTAGTTGGAAAGGTTGACTGATTTTTATTTGAACGGAGATGGAGGACTTAGCTTATATTCAGACAGAAATTACAGCTGGTCAATGGGAAATGAAAGCTGGCCAAGAAACTGCCAACACAGAATTGAAATCTGTGAAACCTGGTCAAGAAGATATAAAGCCAAATAAGCAACATATGAAAGATGATCTTAAAGCATAGATCAAATCACTCAGATGGAAATGAGAATTATATTAAAAGAGGCTAGCTGAAGATCATGAAGAGACAAACAAGCAGTGAAATAAGAAAAAGAAGTTGACTGCAGTGACCAAGACCACTAATTTGAAAATAATAGACCTTAACATTTCCAAGAAATAAAAAAGAAAGAAATCTTTGACCATCCTGAAATTTTCTAACAGAGAACTATCCAAGGTCCTTCAGATATTCTATTCAAAGTGACTTGCCAGGTTCTTAAGTTTTCAGAACGCTTTGGAAGTTAACAATTTGAACGAGGGATGGGAAAAGAAAGAGACTTTGCAAAAGGCACATATTTTACAAGGCTTTTCTATGCTGTAACACAGTGTCCTTGGATGTGAGAGCATTCTGCAGGGCTCAGAGAGGGGAGACCAGACTGTCCCGTCTCAAGTGCTGCAGAAACTTACTGCCTTTGAGGGGAGGTCTTCTTCTGAAGTTTGAGCCTAATGTAACATTGCATGCCAAATTAATGGGTGGGGGGTGGAAGAGGGTGAGGAGTTATCTGGTAACAAGTGGACTAGGTCTGATACTGTTGCAGATTTTATCCACAGAAAAAAAACTGAGTTCTCCAGACTTAGTGCAAGCCCTTGATAAAATGGTCTGAGGGCCAGTCATCAGGTTCAGTTGGTCAGAGTCCAGCTAAGAGCAAGGAGGAGGAGGAAAGAAGTTCACCTGAGCTATCAGAGAACCTGTACAGATTGATGTAGCTGACAGCATAACTACATACCAGAGCATCTACCTGGGATGGACTAGCAATGGGCCGATATATTGGTGCCCAACTGGAGGAGGACTACGAATTAAAATTGACAAATGGAGGCAGAGGAACTTTGTGAGACTGTGCAGCTTACTACAGAACTAGAATTATACAGCAGGACAGAGGTAAAAACAACCACTTCTGAGGAAAGTGGAAGGAAAATCTCCTGAATTTTATTAGTATAATTCTGAATCTAATACTCGTGATGAGAAAAGGGACTCTAATTAGATGCAGGAAATATCTGAGAAGTTTGGAAAAAATGTCACATGCAGTTTGCAAAATAAAATACAATATCAGTTCTGCAATAAAGGGCAATCCTGTCAAATGCTAGTACAGCAATACTGGTTGCCATAAAAGGAAAGCATGCTGATGCATTTAAGGAAAATCAGGACAGATCTTACAGGTGTCTATTGGCAACCCTTCCCCAAGTTCAAGGAACAAGTTAAAGTCAAGTCAAAGGGGCAGATCTTTAGTTAGCTGGTATGGCTAGTCCTATAATTTTTGTTTAAATCTAGGTGATTAAACAACAATAAAGGGAGTTTGAAACTGAAAATATGAATTATGCCAGACTTGTGAACACTGACTTGAATTTAAGAACTGGTCTGCAGTTTTTGTACCTGTTTTACCTAAATTGGTTTAAAACCAATATAATTAAATTGAAGCAACCCTATAGAGTGTAAAAAGTTCTTTATATAAAGGTGCTCATATAAATTTACAAGAATAAACTATATTGCTATAAGCAACTCCTAACAGTATAACTGTAACCACACTAGGGGATTGTACTGATTTAACTATTCTGGCTTCTAAACCAATATATTTAAATACATACAAAACTTCTATATAGATGAGTCCTAAGATTTATTAGCACAGATTTGCTACAAATGTTAGAATCCAAAATTGATTGGTGACATTAGTCTCTTATTGACACTGATTTGCAACGAAGCACCAGCCCATAAATGGAGGAAAATATAGCTTAAAAGCTGAACCTGTGAAATTTGAGTCTGAGGTGTGAGGGACTGATACAATAAATGAAATTAATATATTTTGGGATTTCAATGTATCTAACACCGCCAGTATAAGGTTCTGCAAATGCCAGTAAAAGGTTCTGCAAATTCAGTCCCGGGAAATTCCCATGAAAGGAGTGATACAGATGATACAAAAATTGTATAAGTAACTAATCAGCAGTTTAGCTAGTTGTCCTACTCCTGGGGCCAAAAGCATCTTCTAAGTACTGTGTATGCTTAAGTAACTTTCCAGCAAAGGAAAAATAGTAGCTGGGAAGGCCTGTTTTGAAACACAGACTCCTAGTGATTAGTGATTCTAGCTGCTAAAGTTGAAACAAGCAAGAATTCTAATGATGGTAACAACTGTAAGAGAATCTGAAGTGACTCTAATGGGTTCACTCTGGTGAAACCAGAAGCTGGGCTTTCTTAGTAGCAAGATCATACTTCTGGAATTCACTCTCATCTACATTTAACTCTGAACCTGGCTGCTTTTACAAACATATTCAAAACACACATTTTTGCATTAAATCTGAAATCTCAGGTACTTAAATGACTGGCCAGGTATCTCATTCTACTGTGACTTACAACTGTGGGATGTAGATTGAGAACAATAGTTTATCTACTTCATTTACTAGGACAGGTACATAAACCTATCTTTAAGCCATGTAAAGTATGTCCAGATGCTATAGTAACTAATGCCCTGTAAAACAATGTAATAATTTAAAATAATAGATTCCATCAAAAGGAAATTCACAGTTAAGATAATTCCTGAGGAAAAAAGGGATGAAGTAAAGCTCAAAGAATTTACTGGATTTATTCCAGTGCAGAGAGGAATATTTAAATGAGGACCAGCAGAAAGTTTTGAAAAACTGTCAGATAAACAATCAAAATTTGTTACCTCCTAGTCCATAAGATGTATGTAATTCTGCCCTGCTAATATACAACACACAAAATTGGCACTGGGGAGAGTTGTCCTATCAAGCAGTCACCTCATCAGCTGCCAGTCTCTTATAGGAGAAGGCTTTCAATCGGTTCTTAGGCTTTGCTTATAGTTCTAGGCAGGGAAAGAGATTGCATCATCAGATTTTGTTTGGCGTATAGAAAACCAAATGAAATTGTAATGAGAGATTCTTACCCTTTGCCATGAATGGTGAACGATAGGATTAATTTTGTTTTATACACTAGAGGCTCAGATTGTCACTGCTTGTTTAGGGAGATGCAGTTTGCTGCACCCCCGAGATGTTCATGACAGTGAAGGGTGGATGGCACTAGCCCTGTAGTCCCTCCATTCAGAGGTTCTGTGAGGGGAGAGCAATCTTAAGTTGTCAGTGGAAGTCTGTAGGAGCCCTGTCAGCAGAGGCTGCCCAGAGGATGTGCTAAACCTAATGTTTCGGATGCACTGGCTCATAGCAAATGGAACTTGTGGATTCCTTGCATCACCACAACCCCTCTCCAAGTGGATTTTCCACCATATGGAGCCCTGCACCCTGGATTACTGAGGTAGAATCCAGCTCAGTCTGAATCTGGCCCTGAATCTTCATTAAAGTAACTAT